CAGCGTGGCATCAGTTCATAAAGTCACTAACTTCTGGTCTGAGCCATGTTGTTAGATGCAGACTACTTGGTTTGGATCCATGCGATTATCGTAATCAGTAGTTGTAGACTGGGTGATATGGCTCAGAATGGATCACAGTCGCGCAGGTGTATACACTCTTCGTCTTCCCTTAAACCGTGAAATTAAAGCTACTTTATTCCCTTCTTTTTATGAACTAAATCTTTCTTCGTGTATCATATCCTTATATGCAATCCTTTTTGTATATTTTCATCATTCAAGTAACTACTTCTATGAATTTGGTGTTCATTTTTTGTGCTAATGACGTATGGGAACTTGGACCTATGCATATATGTGCCTGATACAAAGTTGTAGATGATTGATTGACTCCAACACACCATGTATAAGAACTACTTCTTCAATGCACTCTCAACGTTCAATTTAAATTTAACAATGGATCCTATCGAGTTACTGACGTGGTCACCACTTCTAACTAACTATTTTATTGCTAAGTTTAAAAACTATATATATGATTCATACGAATCACTCGATCGCTATTTACGGTCACAAAATAATTTTTTGTTCAGAAGAAATCTAAACAACTGCTCACACTGTCTACCAGCGTCAAGTGACGGCAAATTGTTCGGACTTCAATATCAAATAATACATTCAAAAATGATAGATACTCTAATCATCTTCACCTATGAATTACTCCCATAAATATTTAGTATTAGTTCAATAGTTGAATTCACGACTCGATCTAAGCTAGACCACCATTAAAAACTTGAAAGCACTGAACGGCACATCAACGATCCCACACTTTAGGATTAGTTCAATAAACAATTTCTTATAACATCTATTTACCAAATATTATTTGATTAATATTAATTTAATCACTAATTTTGAAAAATACATACGAATATATTCAAGTAGATTCATTACGCAAAAATCATTGAAAGGAAATATACCTACCATCGATTTTCAATTCCTAAATGCTTAAATAAGCATGTTTGTTTAGTTATAACTACTGTGCAGTTAATCATACATTACTAGTATAAGGGTTGTGGAGATTATTAGGTTTTTGATTGAGATCATGAACCGATTGGTGTTAGACCACCTTTGGATCATCATTGGATGCCATCTCAGTGCTCTGGTAGGTTAGGCGTTCGCGCGTGAGACCGAAGGCCCTGGGTTCGAATCCCACTCGTGGGATCGTGGATGCGCATTGCTAGGGAGTTCCACAATAGGACGAAATGGCCGTTCAGTGCTTCCAGGTTTCCAAAGGTGGTCTAACATCAATCGGTTCATGGTCCTAATCAATAATCTTACATTGATATATCACATAAAAGAAATTGTAAACCTGATAAATATTGACAAACATACTATAAATAAATTTATATTAGATATTATCATTGTATCACTATTCAATCATCATCATAAACGCAATTATAATCAAGTTTAAACAAAATAGAAATATATGAAACACATATGTCTTGATATTCTGTGGTAGGTAAACAAATTCAAATGAAATAAAATGATATTTTAAGATAGGGAAATCTGTTACCTATTGATTACGCAATACAGCGAATATGGTGAATATCTATGGGGAAAGTATTCGTATTTTTGTAGACATTATATTTGATTAACGAAAAGAGATCAGTACAGAGATATTTCCTCTGTGTTTATAAGTGCACATAAAAGATTTATATAACACTTCATATTTATGATGAGAATATGAGAATAAGAAAAGAAAAGAAAAAAAAGAGAAAAGAAAAGAATCTATTAACCATTTGATTAGTTTAACACCAAAATAGCAATAAATCAATAAATATACATTAATTAAATAAACCATAATTTCATTGAATGAAATTACAATTACATTTCTATCATTAGTTACTTATTCAAGCATCCTATATCGAATTCATAAATATCATTTTAATAGAGTTTTCAGAAACTATTTCATTCTATCCCATATTATAAACATTATGATATTTAAACAAAGGATAATGTTAACAATAAATTATCTAAAAAAGTACTTCAGTTTTCAATAGATGTTAATGACTAGACTAATGTCTACTTCTTATGTATTCACATACTTCTAAAATACATATATTTGGATTAATAAAATAAAAATATGGGATCCATGGATCCATATCACTCTGGTACGATCAATTTTTTTAAAAGATTCATTTAAATAACACCTTTATTCACTGAGTTAACTTCAATACTTGTTTGGATAACAAAACAGATGACAATTTTATTGATCTGTATTTCCGATGATGTTAAATCGTTATATGATGTGTACTACTTATATCGAGATAAATAGTATATAACGCCAATCAAAAATAGAAGACTTGTCAGTAAAAGGTTGATATGAGGAAAGAATTGGAACAGAGAATAATGAGTATGGAAATGAAAGAATATTGAAGTCTGAGACCATTAATGAACATTGTTTAAATAAAGTATGATTTTTACATAACTATAATTTTGTGTTAATATATAATCGTTTCTCCGCATCGATATTCTCATTCACAATAATTACACAATACCAAAAAATCTTAGAAGAATACCAATAAAATATGATCTTTATTACACAAGTTGAAATCATGAGTCAATTGAAGCTAGACCACCATGGAAAACCTGGAAGCAGTGGACGGCCGTTTCGTCCTAGTATGGGACTCCTCAGCAGTGCGCGTCCATGAACCCGCCCCCCGCGGGGTTCGAACCCAGGACCTACTGGCTTTGCGCGCGAGCACTTAACCATCAGACCACTGAGCCGTCATCCAACGGTGTTAATGTCTAACTTGTGAAATTTCTAAAAATCTACACAAAACCCATTCTGATAATAATGATCTTTATTAGTTGGTATTTAATAATGTTCAAAATGAATTTGAAACTGTTATTTGTGAAATTAAAAATCTCAGTAATTCTCTCAACCGTTTTTTTTTGTAGTTGACATTTGTTTTACTGGAACAATTTTTCCTTCTTATGTGTGAAAATTCTATTTGAAATAATCTAAGCAATTAAAATTTAAAATAATTTCAACGTTTCGTCCATCAAACTTGTCTGAACTTCTTCAGGGTAATCATCAAAATCAAAATAACCAAAGAAATATATAGCGTCTAACAATTAAATCAAATCAAATCTACACTGTGCTAATCAAATCATATTTGTATGCTGATTTTTAGTGAATAGGATAACATGAGTAAGTTAAATGCGAAACATGTGAAAAGTTCACGATGTGAAAATAAATGACTGAAACGAATTGTGTATGTGTGTATGTATGTGTAAGATTGAGTTATTAATGAATGATATTCCATGTTGATATGCTGTTATATGAAGGAAAACTAAAAGTGTAAATTGAAGGTTGAAAAAAAAATGTTTCTGAATCATTGAAGTGCAAGTAAAGATGTGAATCATCAGCTTGATAATAAATTCGTTGAAAAGAGATCCCTTCACTGAACTTCTTGTTTTTTAATTGTTAATCTTTAAGTGGGAATTATCTGTCATCAAAAACATAATTATATTGCTAAAAAGAAATCAGATTAATTTCGGGGACCAAAATACTTGAGAAAGATCTTAACACTCACAAAAAAAGTCCTGTATATATAGGCGGACAAGAACAGGCTGAACCGATAAGATGGTCCTCAACTAATGATTACTTGGCAACTATTCGTTGACCCTATCTTTATTCAACCTGTTTATTTTACATGCATCGTTATTTTGACTGAAATTAATCTGATTTATTTTTAGCAATACAATTATGTAATTGATGATTCGCATCTTTACTTGCACTTCAATGATTCAGAAACAATTTTTCTCAACCGTCAATGTACACTTTTATTTTTTCGTCATATAACAGCATATTAATACGGAATATCATTCATTAATGACCCAATCTTGCACATACATACACACATACACAATTCGTTTCAGTCATTTATTTTCACATCGTGAACTTTTCACATGTTTCGCATTTAACTTACTCATGTTATCCTATTCACTAAAAATCAGCATACAAATATGATTTGATTAGCACAGTGTAGATTTGATTTGATTTAATTGTTAGACGCTATATATTTCTTTGGTTATTTTGATTTTGATGATTACCCTGAAGAAGTTCAGACAAGTTTGATGGACGAAACGTTGAAATTATTTTAAATTTTAATTGCTTAGATTATTTCAAGTAGAATTTTTACATAGAATGACTTCTGTATACTCAATGCCTAATTTTTGTCAAACTATTCATTTTAATATTGATGAATATTCATATAAATATTTCTTTGTTGTTTTAATCAAGTAATTTTATGTTATATAACCATTATTTCATAATTTAATGATACTTATGAGACTATACTATATTATTTGAACATTGAATGAAATCTCATTTGTTTTTCAACATTTTTATTTATACTTCACGGATTAAAATCATGAATCAATTGAAGCTAGACCATCATGGAAAACCTGAAAGCACTGGATGGCACGTTTCGCTCTAGTATGGGACTCCTCAGCAGTGCGCATCTACGATCCTGCACCCCACTAGATTCGAACCCAGAACCCATCAGTCTCGCGCCGGGCGCTTAACCAACTAGACCACTGAGCCGGCATCCAACAGTGTTCAACCAGGTCTGTTGTGAGAAATAAACTCACTGAAGACAATGGTGTACGGTGGCACAATTTCGTGTATTGGTTGAAGTTAGACATTAACACCGTTGGATACTGTCTCAGTGGTCTAGTTGGTTAAGTGCCTGTCGTGAGACCGATGGTTCCTGGGTTCGAATCTTGCGCAGTGCGGGATCGTGGATGAGCACTGCTGAGGAGTCCCTTAGTAGGGCAAAACAGGCCATCCAGTGCTTTCAGGTTTTCCGTGGTGGTCTAGCTTCAATTGACTCATGATTTCAACCAGTGGAATTTCTAAAATCTCCACAAATCCCTTCTTATTTTATTTATATATTAGAAAGAATTTATCGATTGTAATACGTTTTTTTTTAATTTTCACTTACCGAATACGTAAACCATTATAAACACTTGATAAACCATCTGTAGCTTTTATAATTAATCGTTGTTCATTTGGTTTTATAATTGTAAATCGATTATCTGATTCAATAGGTGCACCATTACCAAATATGGCAATAGGTGATAAACCGGTACGTATGGATAAACATTCAATTTCAAATGGATGAAATGCTGGGATATATATGATATTAGGTCGCATTATTAAATCCACTCCTAATTGAAAATAATTAAACAAAAGAAAAAAAATTTTTTTGAGTAAAATATAAATAATCTAACTGAAGATGTGATTAATATGATAGAGCATAATCTTATGTAATTTTATGATAAGGTTCAGTTTAGATAGGAGTAATGATATAACTGATAAGTGAGTATATGAAACATTCTCTTAAACGAAATATCGCATTCAACATCTAAAATGTAGATAATCAACGTTTGTGTTGCATATTTTGTTTTCATTCGAAATTGTTGATTCCTTTCTGATTGTATCATCTATTATAATGCAAATAGATCTACCGATTTCTCCATTGAATATTGGATATGTTATAGGTCGAAGAATAAGAAAATGGAATTAACTGTTTTATTGCCAGAAAATGATTAACTTAAAACTCAAGGAGATTTTTTCTCATTCTAATTCAAAATGATGAGAATACGTGTCAAAAATGCTTTGATAGTTTTGTCCGGAATTACAAATGAAAGCGTTGTATAATGTAGGTTATGATATATTGAACCTCATCAAATAATAAGCAAAGTTAATAGAGCTAGCAAATGACTGATAATAGATGTTACCGTTTTACATACATTTTAATGTAAACTTAAACATTCCGATATAATCATCATTTACAGATGGATTTATCAATTACATTTTGATTTCATTAATTACTCATGAGAATTTCTAACAATTTAAGATGGATGCGCATTGCTGAGGAGGGCGAAACGGCCGTCCAGTGCTTCCAGATTTTCCATGGTGATCTAGTTTTAATTGACTCATGATCTCAACTATTGAAATTTAACATTTACTTTAACGTTTCTACATTGAACTACTTTCGTAAATCATTGGTTCACATCTAAATTTCAAAATGATGCTTTTCTAGATTATTGCTTTGTAATCATTCATTATTATTATAAATGTAAACTAAAATTTCATGACAGGATAATGATATTTATTTTCTTTTCACATAGTTTCTATTGAATCACATTTATAAGTCATACAAATTTGGTAAACTTATGACTGTTATGTTATATGCAATCTTATGACTGTACATATACTGTATTATATTACCTCAATAATCTCAATGTTTCTGATGACCGAATGACTTGTTTATGATTGAAAAAAAAGAGTGACATGTTTTGGAATTTTTGATGTTAATAATACCTAAATGTGCATGAGCTAATTTTTACTTATCTTCTTTGTAGAGTATAGAAATAATGAATTTAGTTCTGTTTTTTTTAAAAGGTTAAACTTTTTATAAGCTACTCTTTAGAATGATAGTCTTTTATGTTGATTTGACATGAACTGAGCTGTTTGTATTTCATAAATCCGTTTATGACTGACCTTATTATTGGACAGTAACACTGACTGATGTAAAAAAATATATTCCTTGAAATTTGAAAAAGTTTTTAAACATTATGATACCGTTTCTTAATGAAATTCAATACATGATTATAATAAATGTAACTGTGGTTACGACGAGATATACACATATTTTATGCCCATAACGACTAATACGTTTAGTAAAATGTTGTATACTTCTTGGTTTCAATATGGCGTCTGTGATACATATATATATAATGTTGAAACAAGATAATCATGGGAATACAATGAATATCCCTATAAAAATGTTAAGAAGACTTAGAATATATTACAGTTACTTAAAAGTATTAAGTCAAAGCAACAATCTCATGAAATGATATGTATGTATATGTAAGTAATACTGAGAAAATATGCTAATAGGATCAAACAAACACGTGAACTTATTCTTAAATCAGTACTTGAAAGAGAGTGATGTATTACTAGCAATGATGGAAATGAGTATTTTAATCAACTACACACTAGTGCTCGTTACTTGCTTAATTTTAAATATAATTCGTTGTTATGATTTACTTCTAAAGACCACATAAATATTTGCTAACAGGACTTTAGGTGACTTCATTGAAGTCTAAACAATTTGTTAATACAATTTGTCTCAGATAACACAGCACTTAAAGCACCCTCATCCTAAGCTAAAAATATTCCTTATAACCTTAGATGATTTCATTAAATATTATAAAGTACTTGATCTTGAAACGTGGTTATCATCATAGTAGATGAATGAGATGAGTATAAACGTAAGCAGGGACAGATTTTTCCCTGATATAATTTCTCTGTTGGTTTTGTTTGTTACCTTTTCAGTCCTACATTTGTAAGCATGGTTCTATGTTGCATAGTTTTATCATTATTACTAAAAACGTTGATTCTAATCACAATTCATGATTGTTATTCACACACGTCTATCATTTACAACTTGACAAAAATTATAATGACTGTGTTCAACTTATCGATTGAACACTTTTCAGGTTCGATAAATCATATCCTTTAATGGTCACTTCTTTATTTAAAATTATGTAGTCAAGATGCACATAGAGACTAACTAAATCCTAAACTTTATTCACTTAATCATTGACCTATAATTTATCACATATATATGATCATATAGTTTCGAATATAAAATCATCGAAAACATTTCCTTAGTTAAATAAATTCGTTTGGAACTTAATGTATTATTTAAATTAATTCAAGAGATGTTCCATAAAGTTACCAACATGAAATATCTTGTTGTCACCGGAGATGTGAAAGTTGGGAGCTGCTGGTTGAAGTGGTTTATTATAGAAATAAATGTGAGGTGACTATGGGTTTCTTTAAAAAAACTATCGGCTAATTGTAAATATTTTGTTGATGAAAACTTAATTATTCCAAATATCGATCAATATTTGTTAACAATGACTTCCGAGGTGACAAAAACCCTCTTGTCTTGTATCAACTATGAGTGCCCAAGTAGATATGAGAGAATAAAATTTATATTTATCGCCTTAAGACTATCGTAAAATAAGGGTAATGGAAAGGGCGCGAAATACATTTAAATATTATCACTTGTACTACTGATCAAGAAATGTTTATTCTCACTTTTCGAATAGCTACGTTATATGTTATGTACTCCAGTGAGAGCAATTGTCTAGAAGATAAATTACTAAACAACCATAAATTGTGTCTCTATAAGACTCAAATATCAAGGCGTTTTTCTTTTGATGACGGCCTGATATGGCTATTAAAAAAAAACAAAGTAATGTCACATGGCTTCTTCGACATCACATAACATATGAAAATTGATCTGTTGTATTTACGGTTTGAGGAGAAGACTACTAAAGCTACCAAATGTTATTCACAACAGACTATTGTTACTAACTCTTTAACAGAAACAGCGTAAAAAACAAAACAACTTTTTAGGGCCTTATCTATCAAACATTATGAACGGAGAAGGATCATGGCTTCAAAGGAACCCAGGATGCACGTTTAGTCCTATTTGTGGCTCGTCAGCTGGATGTACCTGAATCCCTGAGTTGATCTTCACTCCGGACCTAGAACTCAGTACCGTTTTGCTTTAAACGCCATAGCGTTATCCACTTAGTTGCTGAGTCAATATAGCCACTAACTTATGCACTGAGGTGAGGCTTTAATTCATTTCTGTTTCAGCTGTTTGAGTCTTCACATCCAGCTGATGAGTCCCAATCAGGACGAATCGCGCGTCCTGGATTCTACTGATAGCCACTATCCATTTCTGTTTATAATGCTTGTGACTTAAGGCAATATCGAGGCACTCCGAACAGGACGCACATATACTAATAAGAGACTGACCACTTGCAGTTTTAAACATCAATTGAAGGATTCAAACAGCAAATACAAAAATGAATTTATTCATCAAACTTCCTTAACTAGTACATCGATAGTTCTTTTTCTCTTTTCCTATGACATGTTTCTAGTCCCTACTTTATTCAACCTCCTCACGTAACCTAATCATAGTTGCAGCAAACGTTCATTCTGTTATTTTCGAATAAATTGTGTTTTTATTATTGGTTATTTTGATGACTTTTGCAATCAAACAAGCTGTTATATTACTATTTTCTTATTTCCATTAGAAAATAGTTTATTCTTTTTTCTCATTGTCTTTGTCACTTCTGCTTAACTTCATTCCATATCTTGTAAAATCGCAGCTAATGATGGCATTTATCAAGTTTTCATCTAAGTTAACTCACCATTTTAAATAGAAATGATACAGTAAATCATTAGAAGTGACAATTGTTGATCACAGCATACGTTTCATGAAATTTCAGTGTTATCGTCATAGCAAAATTACTATTGACGTTTCATATAAATGACGGAGTACATCAATCACACACATACTAGAAACTGCCGGGTGGATATTGATTTATAATCTCAGCTGATGCAGTAATGTAGTCTACTTTGTACCTGCGAAGATAATTAACCTATGTTTCACTTGATTGTATATATTCCTTTCCTATTTTGTGATCTTTAAGGAAATGTTCAACACCCAGTATGTTTGATCATATCTAACAGTGGATTTTAAGTCGTATGTTACATCTTATTTTAGCCTCCTCTAATTGGATGGAAGTCCAATGTTATTGTTCAGAAAGAAATTTGAAACCATTGATTTTTTCCTCTAAACTTTAACCCATTTTTCTCAGAGCAGCTGAGTTCAGATAGTCATTAACTTGTTAATCTGGTGTAAAGCTGTAAGGGTTTTAGTTTTCGTATTATTGATGTCAATGGACTATAAGTGATTAATCTTTACTATTATGTATACGATCTGAGCGGATTGTTTCGATATGATAACTTAGTTACAGGTTTTAATAAAATAAGATTATTGTTTAAAAATTATTATTTCTTCTGATTTCATTTAATAACCCTCCATAAAATTGTTTTAAATGTCTGAGAAAAATTATTATGGATAGATACAAAGAAATTAATATCGAGAATTCATCATCATGCACCAAGTTAAAAAATATTTTTTGTTGTTGAAAAAATGAAATGAAAAAATCACTTGTACCATTTCTTGGATGTTGTTCGTTCAATTCATTGAAACCTTATAGTTCTAAATAAATCATTATGATTATCATTTATATTTATAATGAGTTCAATAGTAAATTCACTTGGTATTGTTTGACTTGTATCTTCCCTTTTGAGGTTTAAGACTGCAATTGATCAATCTGTTATTGGCGATGTGCATACTGTGCATACAAGCCAAACAATACCAAGTGAATTTGAATTCACCCCATTGCATAAGCAAGTGGCTATCAGGACTCAGCAGCTGAGTGGATAACGCGATGGCGTTTGAAGCGAACGGTACTGGGTTCGAGTTCCAGAGTGAACATCAACTCTGAGATGCAGGTACATCCAGCTGACGAGTCCCAAGTAGGACGAAGCACGCGTCTTGGATTCCACTGCTAGCCACTAACCATCTTTGTTTACAAAAAGAGTTCAATAGTATTTTCAACTTTTCACTTATGTTAATTTAAAAAAATGTTTATCCGTGTAGTATATTACATTCAAATGATAAAGTGTTTTATGTTTACAATTGATTGGTCACTGAGTTGTGATCAATGTCATGTATATCATGTCCTTCTTAGTGAAGATAGTTTAATGGTAACGTCTCTGACAATGTAGCTGGGTGACATAGGATCAAATCCGCCTGGGAGTATCAGTTCCTTCAAGACTGCAGGTATACCTTGCTGAAGAGTGTCAAGTAGCACGAAACCTAGGTTTTCCTATTGACTAACCCCAACTACCATTTTATTTCAACATAATGTTTGATGTCAATATATATATATATGTATAATTAGATTAGCACGTAAAGTTTGGTGATGGCCTAATATGAATAAAACAATGAACTAAACAATTAATGTAGTAAGAAACAACTAATTTCTTTTTTCACGTGAAAGTTTAGATAATAATAGTTGCTGACTTTTGAGGAATTCAAGACTTGTTTTCAAGTAGCTATGCAGAAACATTTAATTCCTGGTAAAATAAATCAAGGATTTTTGAATAAAGTTTTATTAAGGCTCACCTGTACCATCGTCAATAGATATCGTACTGTTAAAGGTAAGTACCATACTGTCAAGTCGGGCAACACACTGATATCGACCAACATCATCTGGGGTAAATCTCTGTATATGGATATCTGCTTGTCGTCCAATAAGCACGCCATCTTTAAACCACTCATATGATACTAATGGGGGTGTAGGAGAAACAATGCATTGTAGGTGTACAGCATCATTATATCTGAAATATGTAGGTGACTGAATAATTCGAATTGTATAGAGTCTGTCAGGTTCTGGAATTTCTGTTGATGTCCCGGAAACAACCAATTCTACACTCTAATAGATTGGAGAGAGAAAATCAATCACGAATGTCAGCTAAAGCATTATTAATTTCAACCTTTTAAATTGCTAACATTAAATGTCTTTTATTAAACCAGTGGTCATTCAAAATAGTCTAGCAAGTAATATGTCACTGTCTTTCTGACTCTCGATAGCTTTCCAGATTAAAAATTAAACGAGTCTTCTAAACTCTTCAAACTAAATCCATATCATAGTCTTATATCTATTATAAAATTATTTTTTCGAAATTTATTCAACTCATGATAACTTGTGACTCCGTTCACCACGATAGGGTAGTTAGATGGTTGCAAATAATGCTTCTTTGTTATCGAGACTATCGCTTGAATTCCATAATTGAAAAAAATAATTTCTGAGTAACTAGTTTGAAATTTTTCTAAGTTTTTTATCGGTCCAGCCATTAGGTAGGTGGTAATGATTAATTGATAGGAATTCAGTACTGTTTTAAGCATAAAACTGAGTTTCTGACATTTAGTTATATAAAATTGCCAAAACAATTAACTTTAAATATTATTAGGGAAACTGAATTTTATGAACATACTTGACGTAAAATAATTTGATTCGGTAGTAAGATTTGGCATGTGTATCTACCTTGATGATGAGGTTGGAAACGTTCAAATACTATATTACTAGAATCAGAAACCACCATTCCATCTGGACCAAGCCAATTAATTCTAGCAGCTGAATTTGGTGGTCTTGGAGAACACTCCAATTCTAATCGTGCATTTAAATAAAGGGGACCAGAAATTTCTCGAATTACAACAGAATAAGTTGGTTCTACTTCACCATTTCGACCTGTAATAAAATTCAATAGTTTTAATAATTACATTTAAAATTTTTAAGGTTTTCTTTTCGCGTTTTTGATACTTAGAACTACATTTTAGCTTGTAATGTCTTTATTAAAATCTAACAGATGATATTGAGTTCATCAAGAGGGGGTTAATTGTACTAGCAACGTTACCGTTGTCTGTCGTATTTTTGAAGAACATGACAGTGGACTTGGATGAAATGAAAAAAATAATAAGTAGAAATACGTGTAAACCTTCGTGAAATTAAATAGGTAATGTAGCTTACCGATGTTTTACATTAAGTTATGTGTTTCATTTAACTATTCCTGTTAAATAAAATTGAATTATAATCATTGACTGTTAGGTACGTCAAAAAATGATTAAACAACTTCATATGGTCATATATTTTCCAATTCTTACCATCCATAGTAATATAAGTACTCAGATCTCTCTGATAGCCAGAATTCAATCCAGTGATACGAACTGAATACCGTCCAAAATCTGAAGGACTTTGAAACTTGATACGTAAATCTGGCCCCATCGAATCAAGAATTGGATTCATTTCTGTGTCTAGCCACTGGTATATAAAAGTTTCACGAGTAGTAAGATTTGGTTTAGATGGATCAACTGGTACTATACGGCGATGTGTAAAACCTCCAATATTTAAGTCCTCCTCTATGGTTGTAATCTGGAAACGTAGTGCTGAAGAAGAACAAAATGTTAAGAATCTTGAATACCAGTCTATAAAAAATAAATTATTTTCATACATTATTGAAAATTCACCTATATTATCAGTGAAATCTAATAGTGATCTAAAGTACACTGATTAACAGTTGTAATGAATTACGAATAACTATGATAAACAAAAGTCTAGATCAAATAAATAATCAAGTATGAATCCTCAGCTACAAAATACCTTTCTGTAGTTGAATAATGATATTATGATAGCAATAGTAAATATTTAGGTCTTAGCTAGTTCATTACTAATAGAAACTTCATTTCTCAGTACAAAAGTAGAAAATCATTAAAAACTAGAAATTACTGAAAGCACGAGTTTGGAGAAATCTTGCGATTCAGTGTAGTTTCCCTTTTCCGGTACCCATTTTTGTTTCCGAATATTTATTGAACCACGCGACTCTTGCTACATTTTTTGGGGTTTTGCTTATCTTCCTTTTCCACAGTAAATTTATCAACGTACTTAGCAATGAATAAATGTTTCAAGTCGAATACAGTTTGCTTACAATTTACTAAACTTTCTTTTCTGCTTTAGAAGTAAGACGTCTTTCTTATGCCCCATAAAATATAATTGTACATATTTGAACAAACTATACGTTGAGAATATAAACAGTATCATCAATCTTACGCGCTGTTGTTACAATTAGGCTATTATCGACTTGTAATCTCCCTTCTTCAACTGGACTAGCCACACATCGGTAAATACCTTCATCTCGTTGTCTTGTTATATAGTCTCTTTGAAGAAATGCGGAATTAGATATTAAACGACCATCTGGACCAAACCATTGAAAGTTATACTGAGATGGCTTTGCACTGACCACTTGACATTCTTGCAAAATATCACCTGTTTCTAAAACTTCTAATACGTTTCCACGAATTCCTGGAAATATTACACCGGCACCTATTCGATAAAAGTAATACCAAAGATTTGACATTATTACAGACTAATATTTCGATATGTTTATAAACAGAATAACTTGAGATACTTATAAAGTAGTTGTCTATTTCAGAATATTACTGATACTGCAGTAAACAAATGGGCACTGAGAATACTAGTAACTGTTAGTTTACGAAACGTTTTTAACGTCCGCTTGGTAAAATCTGACCAAAATAACACAGTTCAAGGTATTTGTGTATTTTAAAAAAGTTCATCCGATTTTTAAATAATACTGATGACTAAAATTCACAAAAATTCTTAAACAACTTTAAGTGAATGAAGCAAACCATCTGTGGCATCAATGAAGATTCAGTCAGTCAGTCAGTAACAACGTAGAACTTCGTACGTACGTACATCAGTTCGAGTTGCCACACCACATTAGCACAGAGATGCAGTTGTCGACTCAAATTCCTTAGTGGTAGAGGCAGTAAGACCATAAGCAGTAATCGGAAACATTAGGGTTTGAAGATGTTATTCAAGGAGTATAATACAGTGAAATAAATTTGGAAAGAGAAAAAGAATGGGACATGAAGAATTCAGAGGGTTATAATCTAAGAGGACACAAAGAGTAGATGCACTTGCGCCATTGCAAACGATTTTGAGCCATATCATTCAAGGTCTCTAACCATCGGTTGCTATCAATGAAGATTAAACACGATGTATATGTCAACAACCACAGATTTATTTCGAGTAATTTTTTTCTATGGTAATAACTTAACCTAGAGAAAAAGTAAATAAGTTGAACTGTAGTTTTCCAACTAAAAATTAAGTGAGGAGACAAGAGCGATTAAATCAAAATCCCTGATAGTCTCTTTAGATTAACAATTTTGCATTTGTCGTTTCTATGTTTATAATATTTAAATGAAATTAGAAAAAGATTATCTTCCTTTAAAGTTTACGACAAATCGTGAATATGATAACATTAAGTAAGTAACTTATCTAATCTGCAAGATATTATATAATCGAAATCTAGACTATGAGGAAGAAATTGAAAATTTGTCGAAATATTTACCACATCAGAAAATCATAAAAGCAATTGAGTATTACCGGTTAATTACGGATGTCATGACCATGAGATTAGTGTGAACAATTTAAGAAATCAACAAGTCGTAGAATTTCGGTAATCATTTGGCAGGAGAAACTAAAGTACGTGATTTAGACAAGCTTTACAATATTACCGTAAGCAAGTAGTATATTGGAAGAAAATATGATTATAAAAGTATCTGAAATTAATGAACAAAATTATGTTTCGATATGTACTTCTATTTTATGTCTATAATTTTCACTTAAGCTAAAAAAAATCAGATAAGTTTATTGTTTTTGTTTAACATGTATCCAGCTTTATTACTTTACTCATATATTATCAGAACAGGTTTTTATGGTGATTTTAGCAATTTAATAGTTGAATTCATGAGTGAATTAAATCTAGACCACCATGAGAAACCTGGAAGTAATGAATGACCGTTTCGTCCCAGTATGGGACTCCTCAGCAGTGCGCATTCACGACAATGGTTAACGGTAGTGAAATTTCATGGATTGGTTGAAGTTAGACAATAATACCATTGGATCTCAACTCAGTGATCTACAAGTTAAGCGTTCGTGCGCAAGACCGACAGGTCCTGGGTTCAAGTCTCGCGGGGGGCGGGATCATGGATGTGCACTGCTGAGGAGCCATGTACTAGGATGAAACAGCAGTCCAGTGCTTCCAGGTTTTTCATGGTGGTCTATCTTTAATTCACCCATGAATTCAACAATTATATATATATTGAACAGTATTGTTTGAAAGATATATTCTTCAATATTCTAAATCTTTTAATTACTGAATTTGAAAAATACGAATAATCATACCAAAGTTGAGCGTACCACGACAGAACACTGGAACTAATGTATCTAAAACAACAATAGGGCACGTGCTGAATTCAAATTTAACAATAACAATCCTTATTAAAAGTTGTATGTCAGCTTATTAGCCAGAAGCATTTTGGTCTTGTGTATGTGATGTACTTAGGGTAGTACCTGCACTAGTATGTTCTTTTAACGAAAAGGCTTTTCCAACTTTGGATTGAATAAATCTTTTTAACTAGTTCTATCAAACTATTTCACAACAACAAAAAATACACAAAAAAGGTTTAATTTCAAAAATATGAAAGCGTTAATTATGTGCACAGTTATCCCCATGAGATAAGTTTTTTTTTTAAAATTGTATAATTAATCAATCAAAAAATGTTTTATTAAATATTGAACGACCGATTAACGATTGTGTTATATCCGGGACGAGAATAAATGAATGGTATGCGCTAGTAATCATTTATGGACAAATATCATATGTATATTCTTATTGTATGACTATTAAGTAACTATATTATATGTATATTAATATTCCTTTCATTATAGGCTTTTATTTCATCTATTGATTATTATCATACGATTTACCATTCTTGAAATATTCATAATCTATTAGTAACAGTTTCTCAAAATCACAGTCACTTTTGACATGATTATGTACAAATGTTTCTATTTAATGTTGTGATATGGTTTGATTTTAGTTGTTTATATCCCAAGAATGCTTGAAAGATATGATTGGTATGGAGAAGGTTGATATTGGCATTCTGGACTAAAGCGACTAGATTAACAGAGTGGCTATTATTCTCAGTAGACCAATAAAAAGTCTAAGCTGCTTGTAAAGGTTCATGCGTCATTAGTCTGGGTGTTTAGTTCAACGTATCGTAATTGGCAATCGTATTTCACCATAATCGTATAACTAAAGATATAACAGATTGCCAAAGGTCTACATTGTAAGTTTTAGCTTTGGAAATAACTACAGAAATGAAAAAAAGGAGCTAATTGTTATAATATGAACCCCAAAATATGAACTGCTATAACTTCAGCAGTTTTTACAATAAATACTGTACTGATTCAGATACATAATACAATATGTCATCATATATTCATATGTAGAGGTATTGGATACAAAATATGGGTTTGATTATACCTTGAGGATACCATATACATTTAGTCTATATATGGTTGACTGATTAAAATCATTGATTAGTACTAAACTATTTTTCATTATTCATATGTTAACTGGAATCAATAATTTTCATCATAAGGCATTGTTATCTTAATCAAATGATAAGGCTACTTATATGAATCATTTTTCCCTTAGAAACTGTTTAAATGTTACTGTATACATTTTTTATAATACTGTACATTTCAGTTAATAATCAGTTTGACATTCAATAATACCTCTCATTATATATTGATTGGATTGTTTTATGAACATTAATTCTAATTAATGCTCTAATAAAATGTTTGACCTTTTTCATTAAAATTTATGCATAGTAAAGTCGTATTTTTTAGAAATAATATTCGTCTAATAATACAGTTTGTTATAATATGTGGATTGATTAATACGGTTATTTTACTATCAGTATCATTAATCAATTCACCGACATGAAGATGATTTGGTTGTTTGTCCTTCCTTATTTTGTTTAACCGGTTTCAATATTATTTGCTTGGTTCATTATTTAAAGTCTAATCATATCAATATTAAACTGATCATCCCATTTCTTCCACAAGTTTCTTATTCCAATTCATGAGTTAGTGATATATTTATGTAAAATCAACGACTAATCTTATTTTAATAAACGGAATACACCCATTATGACATTAAATAAGAAAGAAAGATTAGTTCAGCGAGGAGTTCTCTTTTCGGCGAATTCATTTTCAAAGCTGTACAATCGCAAATATATATACTTATTTTTACAGGGTGATAATAATACTGATAATAAACTTCTGTTATACATGGTGACAGTGAGGTTAAATAAACAAAGGTATTAGAAAAAATTTTTTTAAAACAAGGAAAGTTTGATAGTTAACTATCAGATGCGAGGACCCTGAAAGATGGCTAGGAAGATCAAGTTGAACAAGAAAAACAGAGACGGGAATAGAAAGAAATTGTGACTCGGATAGATCATACAGAATGTGAAGGACAAATGATGAAATTTTTCAAATGAAGCATTTGATACATGGTTTCCAGATTTTACCAATAGATTCTGTAATTCTTTGCTAAGAAAAAAATTTGGTTATCCGCACCTGTGTTTTCGTTCATTAAAATACAATTTTTTACTACTTTAGAATTCTACGTTTTTATGCCTTTTCTCTATATAGCGAACTAAACATTAAAGTTGGTTACCGTTTCATACAAAAAAGAGGAGGTTTAAGCATTAATACATATACATATGCAGTCGTTAGAAAATAAATGGTCAGTGGGAGAATTATAAGCTTAAATAGGGGGACGCTTGGTACATTATATATTTCATAGACAATTTAAAAACATTTATGAAAATCCCTCAGAAAAATAAACCTAAGAAATACCATAAGAAGCATTTAAACTATCTTTCATTACTGCTTTTATTAAAACAGAATTTTTCCACCTGTTTCCCTATGGCGATTTGAACGTTTTGTTCGAAGCGTCTACTAGATAATTTGATCCTGAATTTGTAGACTAGTGATGACTACAGTGACTGTTTCACTTAGGTTGGCTAATGATCTCAATAACATCTAACATTCATCATAATCCACATACTGTGAAGAATATCAGAGTTCAGCTTTTTGTGGCCCTTTATCTGACTCCAATTAGATTGTATAAATGATTGCTGTCGAAATATGCATCCTGACTATTCTCGTATATATTTATCGACTTAATCCATGTTAGTGAATAACGGAATTAAATAAGTCAAATACGAGAACGGACTTTTGTAATACGTATATTTCGTACAATTTTTGATCGAGACAAACGAACGAAGAAACGAAGCGAAGACAGCGAAGAGAAGAGAGCGGAGCGAAATGATGCGCGGTGGAGAAGACATGTGAGCCAACCCCATTTAACGAAGAGTTAATCGAATTTACAGTCGAACAAAAATAAGTTACAAACATGTGAATTGCATAAGTTGTACACATACACATACACTCAAATAAAAACAGTCAGGGTTAATAAGTGAATAGTTAACATGGTCAAAACGTGACTCAAGATGAATGGATAAATTGGCCTGTCCAGAAGCTAGAATAAGCTATATGGGCTTAACATAATAACCGACATTACAAGCTGATCCATTAATAACCACAAATGTCCACTTGAGGAAATAAACAAGCTGATCAACAATCTATTATTTGAATCCAAATAGATCATAGCACCCAACAGGAAGTGTTATCGTTTGGATCACTACGAAATCATAAGGAATAACAGTTTTTAAGTGAGCCTTATCATGTTTTATTATTTCCATTACCACTCATCAAAAAAAATTACCGCCATTATATCTAAATGATTCCAACTCAAACTTAAAAATGGTAAGTCTTGGACACCGAAAGTAGTTAGACTAAGAAACATATTAACTTCGATCAGTTGACGTATAAATATCGGGAAATTAAGCATGTTAGTAATGAGCTTAGTATAATAATATATTATACCCGGGTGGATATAAAAGTTGGTACAGAATGATGAGATCATAAAATTTTCTATTGAAAGTGTTATGAATTTTTTTCGCTCTACGACTATCACCTATTGTAGCCAACAGATTGAACAGGTATATTATCATTGTTTCTGATTACTACATTACTTAGTTTTAAAGGGGCGGGACAGTTCCAAGTTTCTCTTAGTTTTGTCATTCATACTAAATTTTATGTAAATTGACCTCTAAGGTTGTTTTTTTAGATGCAATCTAACCACATAGTTGGTCAATCGAATGTCATAGTGAATGTTTCTAGCAAACAAACTGTATATCAATCATATAATACCATGAATTCCACAGAACTGAGATACACAATTCTTTGTGGTGACTATCAGACGTATAACTTGTTTATCGAATCATTTATTTAAATCCCAAGAATAAAGAGTCATTGTATCACCTTATACTGGGTTTACAAGGTGATCTACTTTCTAAGATTTAAGTACACTGTTTAGGCCGTAGTTTGGTCTGAATACAAAGTGAATGAGGAAGTTTCATTACTTATACTGTATCAAACATTTTATTAGTTAGGAATGCTTAGCTTCTTTGAAAAACGTTTTCAGAAACTAAACAGCAATGAGAATGTGTATAGCCTTTATCAAAAGCAAAGAAATCTCAAAGACATTAACATTCCTTTCACCCTGAGTTCGTTATTTACTAGGATAATACATTTCACTCCATAAACCACTGTTATTATCTATTGTAGATTTTTCTGTGTATTACATGAGATTTACGACTAACCTATTAGTCACTTTTCACTATCTGGTAGAAACTAGGCACAGAATAAAAGTTTTCAGTTTCAGTTAAATCCTCATTATTGTTAAATCCATATTCTTCCGTCTGCTTGTCATGCAAATAAACAAGATGAATTTGATTTATATCAAGTATAAAACAGTAACAAACCATACAATCAACAATTCAATTTTATGTAACTTTGTAGCAATACTGTGGTGTATGCTACTTATGTCGATATATGTAGTATATAACACTAGTCAGAAGTGGAATGCCTAGCAGCAGGAGGTTTGGAAGATGTGATCAAAGAGAACGGAAAAAGAGAGTAATTGTTATAACAATGAAAGAATGATGAAGTTTTAACACAATGAAGAATTTGCAAATGAAGTACTGGGCGTATGATTTCCACATTTTACGGAAAATTAATTTTGGATTAAGATACATTTGTTTGTCCCCGCTTGTGTTCTCATACATTACAATACCTTTGATTCTCAGTTAAAAAAGGGTAGTTTGGAAGATTGTCATAATTGGAAATTTAAAAACAGTATTCAACTATCAAATTATTTTCCTTGTAATATTTCCACTGTCATTCTTTATTCATTAGAAATTATTTTATTCACTATACAACTGAAGCGATCGCGATAAAAAAGCTCAAACAGGATCTATGTATTCAAAAGGAGACAGTAATACACTTATTACTACCCTGGTAATCCTTTTTTTGGTCATTAGTTTTATTTTGTTAATGTTCAGGTTGTGTTATATTCCTCTTCCATTGCTGAATTCTTAAACCACCCCTTCACTCATACATTTCTACTCACTTGATTCTGTTAAATTATGTGAACTCTTCAAATTCTATTCAATTACGTAATCTATCTTATCAGTTTTCTAATTCCATGAACCTTATGTAAACTCTACATTACCTCTAAACTTTGTCACACAATTTATATTATTTTTCTTTCTCTCTGAACTCCACTCAAATATTGTACCACCCATCCCCATTGTTTCCTTGATTATAACACCAAATAAACTCTGACCTGTTCTTGCACATCACAGAATCTTATTACGTAATGATTTTAATGTTTTGTGATTACTATTCCTAGTCTATTTACCCACGTTTGTTTGACCTTCTATTGCCAACGTCTAACTACTGATAAGAGTTTTGTTATTGTATTTTATTATTCTTACTATTATCAGTTCACATGTCTTCCTACTATCAACTTGTACTTTTACCTATTATGTGTAGTGACTTATTCTATTTCATTGTGATTATTGACTCATATTGCCTTGATTGGTTTAACATTTTCGTATAAATATTCATGTATATTAGAGTACAGCCTGATGACAATCTAATTGAAAACAATTGTTCGCTTATATGTGTTGTTCTAATTTTCACAATGGGAATCTTTAATATAGAATGAATAGACATTACTGAAAATTTATTAAAAATATAATTACATACAAGTACTTCAGAAAAGCAGCATGTTTTTACAATAGGTTATACCTGTCTCACTAACTTATTAGTGGCTCGTGAAAGCTGGTGCGCTCCTAAAGACCAAAAGTTACGTAAAGACGTAACCTACAATGACTTCAGCAGAGCCTTTGACAAAGTTGCGCACAACCGGCTGTTATATAAGTTAAAAAATGTCGGGATTGAATGCAATCTATTGATGTGGATAAACGACTTCCTAGTTGGGCGCAACAAAAAGTACGGGTGGACTCAAAGTTGTCTAGCTGGGAACTGTGCTTAATGAAGTGCCTCAGGGTATTGTTTTGGGGCCACTGTTATTCCTTTTGTATGTAAATGACCTTCCTCGTCTTCTATCATCATCAATCTCGCTATCTGCTGACGGTGTCAAGATTTGGGGAACGATACAATGTAAGGGTGATAGCTTAGAACTCCAAAATGACCGGAAGAAATTATCTGAAAGGTCTCAAACCTGGTAGTTGCCTATAAATACTTTCAAGTGTATTGTGATGCATATTGGTCATCAAGGTACAGATACATACATGATGGATAATACTAAGCTACCTGTTGTCCAGACGTACAATGACTTCGGAGTCATCGTTAGCCAAGACTAAAAGACTACTGCATACTGCCGTGCGATAGCCGCCAAAGGCCTAAGAACCCTCTGGTCAATACGTAGAACGCTAAAACTTTTTTGACTTTGTATACAGTGTTCATGGGTACTAAACTTGAGTACTGCATACAAGCGGCTAGCCCCTGCTTAAAAAAAGACGGTAAGCTTTTGGAAAATGTTGAGAGAACAGCAACTAAGCTGATTCTCGGAATAGCGAAGCTCCCGTATGATACTCGACTGGCCAAGCTAAAACTATTCCCGTTGTCATATCGAAGAACTAGAGGCGACTTAATTACAGTTTTCAAATTGCTTAGTGATAAATTTGCATCTGATATGCCCTCATTTTTGTTGTCTTCCAAAACAGAGAATTTACGAGAACACTCCATAAAAGTTCACAAGCCCAGAACAAATTATTTGTCAGCTGGCTATCGACTTCCCCATCGAATTATCAACGAGTGGAATTCATTACTTCAGCACGTGGTTGAGACTCCATCAGACAACTCTTTCAAAAGAAAGTTGGATCATTTGAGAGACCATCATTACCAGGACTAACACATGTCATCAAGCCTCCTGTCCTTTCCAAACTGAAATTATAACTGATTCTGAACAAATATTTTATCTTATAGTAACTACTAAGTATATTAAGTTAAATGTCACTTAATGCATTTAACATCACGATACATAATTAATTCTATCTAGTTCTGGTAGGCTTTTCATAATACTGAAGTCTACTTTGAGAATAACACAAATATGACGTTGTAGAAAATGTGTATTATCTAAATATTCATTGAAATAAAGTTTAAAACTAGTTTAATTTGTTCACAAAAGACATACGTAGGTTATGGCATGGTTAAAAAGGTTGATAAGCTTATAGCTTTTGGAAGGTACGCCACAAATTTCTCAGTTCTTTTGGGTTATACGTAATTTGTCTGTGCTATGAGATATGTTGGTTAGTTGTTGATCAGGTGGCAAATAATTAGCTCAGATGCTATAGCTGGATCGAGATACTGAGTCAATGAACCGAATCCAAACAATAATAAACGTACTTTTATAATAGCAAAAGATAAAGAGGCGAAATCCAAATATAAAATTGATGTTACTACATTAGATTTATGGAGAATAGAAGATGAAGAAAAACTTACGTGGAATAACATTTATTTTTGTTGCTGAACTGGTAGACATTTGTCTTTTGTCAAATTCGTATGAAACACGGCAGACATATATGCCTGATTCATGTACTTTGATGTGGCCCAATTCTAATTTCCATTGAGTTCCAACTAATGTACCATTTGGATTACGCCATTCGTATCGAAATGGACCAGCACCATCAGGTTTCTCATCACTACTTACATTACATAAAATTCGAACCAAAATTCCTTCTTCGACATCTTGAGTTATGATGGAATCAGCTACATAATAAAATGGGACAAATATAAAAATTTAATATGTTGTTATAAATTAATATTATTTTAAAACCATTTCGGTACTTACTTTATCCTAAATAATAGGTATTAGTTATTTATTCTTTTGTTGTTTTGTTAACTTTACTGATAATAAGTAACAATAGAAAGAAACTTCAGTGTATAACAATATCTTTAGTTACATCATTCGAATAAAGATGAGAGGAAAGACTACTCTTTAAAGTGAATAATATTTGAAATTAAATTTCTGTTTAGGTATTAGCTTTATAACCTTCAGAATAGCCTATGATATTTTGTACGTGGCGACTTCAGAAAGAGTTTCGCATCAATTCAATATATCATTTCATATATATCGCAATCAGTAGATGAAGATGCTTTTCAATCGTGATTTACACAAGTTATTTCCTATCATCTAGCTCTATGAAATGTGGATAAATGTTTTGATATGCTGAATCAAATAGTTGAGGTGTATGCTGCTTATATCGGCAGACATAAGTAGTATGTTACACTAGTCAAAAGTTGAATGGTTGACAGAAGGCTAAGAAAAAAACAGTAAAAGGAAAATGAAAGAATTGTGAATTGTGAATTGGAAGAACCAGACAGAATGTAAACGATAATTGATGAAAGATTTACAAATGAAGCATTCAGTGTATAGTTCTTATATTTTACGAAGATATTCTGTAATTTTATGATTCGTTCACTACAATATTATAGAAATATATTCCCATTAAAAGATTTGAATGTCAAAACTATCGATTGATTTAAGATATAACTTCTCAATCTAACATAAATCACTTCATATAAACTTCCGTCATTACTACTTCAACAGTAACACGTTTGATCAAAGAAGTCAGTTCAATCAGCAACAACGTAGAACATCGTACGTACGTACATCAGTTCGAGTTGCCATACCCCATTAGCACACAGATACAATTATTGATTCAAATCCCGTAGTGGTGGAGGTAGTAAAAGTATAAGCAGTTATAGGAAAGACTAGGGTTTGAAGATGTTATAATACAGTGAAATAAATTTGGAAAGAAAATAAGGGACATGGAGAATTCAGAGGATTACAATTTGAGAGAACACAAGGAGTGGATGCACCTGCTTCATTGTAAACTATTTTCAGCCAAGTCACTCAGCGTCTCTTACCGTCAATTGGTATCATCTCGCAGATCCCAACCAGGTAGTCTAAACCCACTAATATGGCTCAGTTCACTTGTCAGTGTCTTCATAGATTTATGCCATGTTTTGGTCTGGCCACCCCTCGCTTTTTCCCAACCTACTTCCTACACTATGAAACGTCGCACGTCGGGGCAGTCGGTGGTAGGGCATACAAAACACATGTCCCAGCTATCTCAACTAATGAGGTTCCACTACTTCACCAATTGATATGCCATCCTTACCTAGTACCCGTTTCCTAATCACTGTATTACTTACTCGGTGGTCTCAGGATACACGAGAAATGTTTCAAAGACACCTATGATTAAACAACGTAAATATTGGATCGAATTTCCATTAAAGATTCCATAGAAATAGTTCGTCAAACTGTTGTAATAAAAGAAGTTGTTATCAAAATACACTTTAATAAAATTCACAAGAAATTAAGACAGAATACTAATCTTACAGGAACTTAGATTCAGAAAACTTTAAAATACAAAAAACAAAACAATAGCACAATAGTTATAATTGTAAATTATATGTACCTTAGGAAAAAAGGTAAAGTTAAGCAAAAATGGGAAAAAAAATCTACGAAATATATAAGAAAGGTTATGAACATAAATCATCTGTTAGAACACATTTTTGACAAGTGATTCTACATATTGGCTAGTGTATCTTAATTATTGTTACTAACAGTAATATATTAATCTGCTACATCTTTTTACCGGTTTATATTCATTAAAATAAATTAATCGGGAGAACAAATTTTACGGACATCTTTATTTCTTGTAGCAATAATGATGAAATAGTGAAAAAAATATATCACAAATGTAGGTAAACCAATCAAAATTACTGAAGGAAAAATATAGTTTTGCCAAAATGTTGAATCTTCGTGAGTTTTATTTTAAGCATACTTGATGTGAAATTAATTTGTAATGTATAAAGCGAAATATTAGTTTGATTTGAATCTGTTAGATTGTGTTTTGGACTTGATGTGAATGTGATAGTATCACTAGGTTATGAGTTTTTACGGTCTAAGTATTAGGCATTTATGATGTAATGGTAGAATTATAATCAATCAGTAACTATTCTCACTACATGCATGGTTCAACCATATTTATTTGTGACTGGTTGAGAATTTGTTTGAAGATCTATCAAGGCCAGTCTTCCGGACAAATACAATAATTTATTAATTAAAAACTAAAAAAAGACATTCATTATTTAAACATCTTATTAATTTATGCTTCAGAATACCGTATTCAATCATAATCGCCTTCTAGAGCAAAGATGGATAGTGGCTAGTAGTGAAATTAAGGACGCGCGTTTTGTCCTATTTGAGACTCGTCTGTTGGATGTGCCTGCATCCCAGAGTCCCGGAATGAACATCCACTCTGAACTGCAGATGCATCCAGCTGACGAGTCCCGAATGGAACGAAACGCGCATCCTGAACTCCACTGCTAGCCACTATCCATCTTTCCTTAGAAAGCTTGTGACTTAAGGCTATATAGAGGCATTTCGCACAGGATGAACATATGCTAACAAGAGTCTGATCGATTGTAGTCCTAAATAAAAATCGGAAGATACAATTAAAACTACACCGATTGAACATAATCGCCTTTGTTTTGTTGTCCTGACTACTGACATGTACAAAAGGATACACAACAGTGCAATAAGGTTATAGAAACTTATTAATTCTTCTAGCTAAATCCTTTACTTTTAACATGAACAATCATGACTTCGGGTATTTAAGTTATGTTGTTTGGTGATACATAAATAATTTATAATATCCGCCAAAAAGAACCATTATCCATTCAAACCAGTTATAACTGGGTAATATTTACGAAAAGTCAATATTTTTTTGTATATCTTCTTTTGGATGACTAACTGTTTTATCTTCTGAAGTGTATTCTGTTAGGGTTTGGCAATCAGTTCTGATATTAACATTATTGATTCACTCACTTTATTTGCATTTAATGGCATTATTGTTCCACGAAGATACCATAATATTTACATTTCTCTTAATAATTTATTTAAGTCACTTTAATGATGGTTAAAATGTGTATTAACAGTTTATTTACGTAATATGGTAAGTGAAGCTAAACTATTCATAAACTTATTGTGGTGTGTGATACTTATATTGACATAAGTAGTAGATAACGCGAAACAGGAATATAATGTCTGGTAGCAGAAGATTGAGAAAATCAAGAAGGGAAGGATGGGACTAGATAGCAATTGGTATGGAAATGCAGGAACAATGAAGTCTAAGACAATTAATGAATGTTATGCAAATGACGTATTAGAGTATGGCTTTTTTATTTTACTTATGCTATATATAATTCTGCTGTCCTCACCTTTTTTCTCTATTACTACATTATCACTTTATTTTTTTATCGGGATATCATAAAACTTCAGTTAAAGGAACCCATGCGTTCATCTTAATTTTCACATTTGGGAATCAGTCAATTGTATTCATTATTGTAATGCATGAATTCAACTTCTAAGAATTAGTTTCTGTCCAAACTTTTGAAAAGCTTCTCACTATGTTATCTATACCATTAATTGTATAATTCTTCTTTTGAATCAATGTTTATCATAGAGACTTATGAGAAAAGAGCCTTTTAAGAAACCTCTACTGTAGAAAGTTCCTTTAATTATTAAATTACTATAGTATCATGGACCTGAATATTTTATAGTTAATTTGTTTCTTGAGGAGTAAATATATAAATCTTTTGATCTGGCTGCTTCAAAGTTAACCGAATAGTTGAAATTTTCACTCAATACAAAATGTATTAGTATCAGAAAGGGTTTTGTGGAGATTGTAGTAATTTCAACAGTTGAGATCATGAGTCAATTGAAGCTGGACCACCATGGCAGACCTGGAAGCACTGGACGGTCGCTTCGTCCTATTGTGAGACTTCTCAGCAATGCGTATTCACGAACCCGCCCCGCGTGATTCGAACCCAGGACCTATCAGTCTCCATGGTGGTTTAGCTTCAATAGACTTATGATCTCAACTGTTGAAATTACTACAACTTCCACAAAACTCATTCTAATACTAATCAACATACGCTCATTAGTGACTGGCTTCAAGAGGCATTTCCTGGAGTTCTAGTGTGAAGCAGTGATCACTAGAGTTCAACCAGGTCAATTGTGAGGTAGTAACGCACTGATGACAATGGTGGATGTGTCGCTCGATTTCGTGGATTAGTTGAAGTAAGACATTAACACCGTTGGATGCCGGCTCAGTGGTCTAGTTAGTTAAGCGTCCGGCGCGAGACTGATAGGTCCTGTGTTCGGATCCCGCAAGGTGGGGTCGTGGATGCGCACTGCTGAGAAGTCCCACAACAGAACAAAACGGTCGTCCAATGCTTCCAGGTTTTCCATGGTGGTCCAGCTTCAATTGACTCATGATCTCAACTGTTAAAATTACAATATGTATTCCACTTTATTAGTATATCGTACATATTTATATCAAATATTATTAAAAATCACTATGATTTCTTTCATTTTTTTTGTCCTAGAAACAGTAATAAGTGTTTAATGACCGTTTGTAACTGAATAGAGAAACTTTTCATTTATCAAAATAATGTATGATTTCAACAAAATTTTAAGAAAAAAACGTAAACTACTACAAACAAGAGAATAAATCTTCATTTATATTTTTTTCTATTGCAATTCACTGATTATATAACTTAGATGTCAAAATTATTAAAGAAATCAACAGCCTAAATAGTTTCCATAGAATTGATTGTCAAAAGGCTATGTAACATTTAAGATTTTATTTAGTCATTAATTTTGTCTATTTTAACAGTAAAAAAGTAATAATAAT